GGGGACAAAAGCGCTCCACCACCGAGTACGGTCTTCAGCTACAAGGCCCTGTTCCCGGCCACGCATATAAAGCATACATGTCCAGATCCGGAATCCCCGGCAGGGAGTGGTTAAGGGTGACTGCATTGCATTTATTTTCGCAACACTGTTTTGGCAATTCCTAGGTATTCCTTTGTATTTTAAAAGTTCGCGCTCTTAGTGCATCTGCTTTTTCGACGGAATGTTTCTGCTAGATTTTGAAGTATCTTGGCTTTGTTATACATGTAGGTGGTGGAGCGCTGCTGTAGGTACATCACATTGAGGAAATTGGTTCGCGTATTCAATGAGAAATTTTTTTTCTCCAAAAGTTATGATTCTATATTTTCCTGAGACGGTGGTTGAAATCAGGATTACACGTAGGATGATGACAATTGAAAATTCTTGGTTGATTGTGGTAATTTATTAATTTATGCGTTGAATCCATTTAAAAATGATGAAATCCTCAAGACAATCCGTCGTATTGTAGAGCTGTAGTGAGCTACTGGATCATGTAAAAGAGATCTTGTAAAAATCCTGCCACGGACGTGCAACTTGCTTAAATATATTTTATTTATCGACTAGTAACAATTTGTTTTCTCGTGCTTGCAGAAATCTGATAATTACGATGTACGAAAAAAAGACGAAATGCGTCGGAATGTCGTGGTATTTTTATTACTTCATATAAAGTTACGGAACGAAAATTGCTTGTTGTGTCTACGTGTAATAATGTTTGAGAAAGTGTCTTGTGTAAAATTATAAAAAAGGAACTGAATTGTGGTGTTTTTAGAACGTAGGCAGACGCTGTAGACGCCTGTACATAAAAAGGAAAAGCTTTTGACGGACCGTAGGGGAAGGAACATGTAGATTTCCTCTCTCCGTGGACAGACATTCCCGGACAATGTGCTGCAATAGACTTTAAAAAAAAAAAGAAAAAAGGATTAAACGTGTGTGTGTGGTTTGCGGGAAAAAATATTACGTAGAATTCAGACGAGACTTTAACCAGTTCCGAATCGTGTCTAGTGATTGTAAACAAGTAGGATTTAAATGTGATGGTGTAATTTTATTTCTTTTTTTCATTTTGTTTTTTTGTGTACTTACGAGTATTGTCGGCAAAGCCTGTGAATAATCATGCTACGAATGAGGAATAAATAATACAGATGTCTAGAATGCATAGATTGTGTACTCTGTCCTTCTTTGAATGCATCCGACTCGTTTACGAATACAAAAATTCCATGGAGCAGGTGTTCAAATCTTTACGCTCTGAGCTTGTGAGTTGCACCACCACAGATGACAAATTTATCTGCGAGCAAATTCGAAGAACACCCTTTTTTGCTTGGCAGAAGTGGCACCGTACACTTTTATTTTACTGTTGGATTAGCATGACATGTTGACAGCATCACAGACCAAGGTATACACATGTGACCAGCTCTGGGTAATACATCGCCAAATTCAGGTTATGAGTTGTTGATATGGCTAGACTCTGTACATCAAAAGGTACAATTTGACACATGAAGGACCCCTTTAGTGCACTTCATTCCGGAGATATATGGACATTTGTATAGCCACATATTTGGATTTGATAAAAGCACTTTTTGAGAAAAAGCTCTGGAAGTGTACCTCTTGGAAACACAATGCTATGTAGGATTCCCAACTGAATGATCAGTTTTTCATCTTTTTTCATCAGTATCCATGTTTGTTGTCACAAATTCTGAAAATATAAAAATTATAGAAAATGTTAAGGAAAAAACACAAAATCACTTTTTTTACAGATTTTGCCCTCTCCAAATGGAACAGGCCATGACGTGTGTTTTGGCATTGTGCGACTTATTATCCTGGTCACATATACATATTGCACAGACTTCTGCCATGGCTTGACAAATCAGTGTCGAGGATTCAAGTCTGGCTGGAAGGTGGGTTTTAACCTTCAGCTGACCCTGAGAGCGAGTTTGAAGAACGTGATACAAGTTTATTCAACCCACTGGAACCCACAACCTCCTGTCCACAAGTGCAGACGGCCTACCATTGGACTGCCAAAGTTGCTGGTAATCGTGGGCTGAATTCTGATCTCTCTCACTGTACATTCTACGGTGAAATGATAGTTTATGAAATGAAATTGAAATCAGAGTGAATTACTTTTGCACATTGATGTTTCAAGGTCAAACATTACAGAAGACGCAACCAATCAAATACACCACATATTTATAGCGAGACACACTTGCACGTGTAAGGAGTGATCCCCCATTCTGCACAATTGCCTGATCGCTCAGAGCGATTGCGCGATACCGTCTGAAATATCCGATTTTACTTCCCTGTTTGGCAACAATCCTCCACAACTTGAATTAGAAAAAATGTTACCATTGGCTGATGGCAGAACTATCTACATGTCATGCTATAAAGATTGACCAATCACGCAGATCATCTGATGGAGCCAAATACATGTATCTTTCCAATATAATAATGCTCTGATACAACAGCACTTTTTATTTTCTCAACATCTTTCAAGAAATGCTCACATTAATAAAAACCTTCAAAAGTTGGCACGTGGCAATTGTAATTTGAGAAAAGCATGGTTGCCTGTCTCGTACTTCATATGAGTAGCCAATGACTTGACTTCAGACAAGATCACTTTCTGTTGTACTCAAGTAAGCCTTCAGATGGGCGAAGAAATTCAGCAAATGACAATCTTCGGAGAGTTCCAAACCGAGTTGTTATAAAACAAATTCTGTCTATTTCGGGGCTTGTTTGTTTCGTGCAGATTCAGATAGTGATCATCAGTGATCCGGCACTGGTTCACTGACACCAGGACCTACCTAATGGATGGCGTTAAACAGCCTTGGGACCACTAATCCCAGATCCGGATTGGTGTGTGAAACAAACGAGCACTAGTTTCAGCCATCACAGGAGCAGTTGCTTCACTCTGTCATATCTGCCCATCAGGCCAAGATGCAGCTCTTCCGGTAACCTCAAAGCTCCAACCAGCCGTTCTCGGCGGTACTCCTCAAAAACCTCGGCGAACAGGGAAAGGGCGGGAGCTGCACTCTTCTTTCCCTGACGACTGGGGGATCCCCGGACCCGCTTGCTGAGGGCATGCGGTCCGTCGGGCACCAGGGCAAATTCAATGCAGTCCAAAAAGAATCGGAACTTTGTTGCACAGCTTGGTTGATTTTCACCAGTGGCCTACAAAGACACAACAATTTTTACTTTGTAAAATGCCTCTAAAAATGTAGAATTGCTCTGCAATTCATCGTTGAATCATCGTTGGGCCTAAAAATGTCAATCAGCACAATCACGTTGCATCATCCGTCTAGCCTGTATGAAATCTTGGACTTAACTTCCTTGTTTAACCACTTGCTGCCGGGCATGTTTCGGGCACGTATTCTTTATATGCATAGCCGGGGTCTCTGAAATTGGACGAAGGGAACTGGGCCTTGTAACAAAAGACCGTACTCGTAACAAAAGACCAGGCTGCTGGGCATTACCAACATTTTTTTACTGTTAATAGTGGAGATGATCCAGCATTTTTGAAACAGTATTCCACGGTTTGGGGCATTTAAAGCGAGCGGATTACCACCGAGGACAAAAGCGCTCCACCACCGCAGCGATGAGCCACACAGCACCAATGCACGCTAATCTGGCCCCTATTGAAAAGAGGTCAGCAGCGCAATGTGCCAGTTTCGTGAACAAAAGAAAATTACGTAATAATACTGCATAATCTCGGCTCTTTTTACAAGGTGGCAGGCCTGGCTGAAATACTCCAGCGTACTCAATAGATGTTGTCTGTCAGATTAGAGTAGAAACCAGATTGTCCTTCGTGTGGGTGTAAGTGTCCAGTAAATGAAGAAAGGAATTTTTAAAGAATTTTGAAAACAGAAAAAAATGAAAAAGATCCCATCCCAGCAGTATCAACATTCATAAATGCCCCCGGCGTGATGTGGTTAAAATAATCCTCCACAACCTTGCATTTGAAAGAAAAATGATTAGCTGACAGTGGGATTATTGGCAAATTGTAATAAGACCAGCGATTACACCGATTGACTGATGGCAACAAACATCTTCAGTAATGTTGAGCGCGTACATACACAAAACTGCGGGTTCCTGAATTGACTGTGAATTTTGTACCTTTTCGACAATGTCCGGCAAGACGTGACGTGTCACGTTCCCGTACACTGAGAAGAACATCAGAAGGGGTTTGACGATGTTGCATAAGAGGTTGCCTTGACCGCGGTAGGCGCTGAATGCGCACTGCAGGTCGTGGGGTTGTAGGACGGCCTGGTAGCAGAGACCTCGCAGTGAAGTGATGAGCTCACCCAGCCGATCCTGAAATTACAAAGACAAGGTCATGTGAGCAAGCCTAATTCGTCTTCCTAGCCATCATGTGACATCATCAGTTATTGGACAAAACAACCGGATTAAACTTTTTATCAAACAGAACCATAGAGCTGTACATAAAAACTTGGGTGCCAATTTCTCATTTTCTGCGTGGAGAGAATTTGACGCCGTCCTGGGCGTAGACATTTTGAATCCATGTGCGTGCTTGTAGGACATTCAAAATCAGAATGAATATCGAATTACACAGTCTAAATGAAACGAGCATCGGGTACCGCTAGAATCTAAAATTCTAGAATCTAGAATTTAAAAAGTCATGGCAACATTATCTGCAGTGTATACGTGCACGCATTTGCGTTGTTTATGCAGAGCAAAACGAAATGCTCACTTACTATCGTGCGTCGAGTTTTTTTGCGTATTGGCTTTGTTGACATATCTTTTCAGAATACAGATGCACATATGTAAATACCCTTACAAAACCAGTACGCAATGTCGAGTCTTCCATGGGTTTGTGCGCAAACATGGATGCGCCCAGCAGGCATCACTTTGTGCACGAGTCACTGCTCTAGTTTTATAGCGCTATGAACGCGACATTTATAAGCTTTTAAAACTGAACATCTATGGCTGTCTAAACATGATGTTTGATGAAACCCACACTGCAGAAAATGAATATGTGCAATGACGACTTTTGCTAATTGGCCGCCAACCTGCTGCAATGTAGAATCTTGCATTGAAAAAACTAACATTTCTTCATCCACTGCAGAGCATTTCCTGCTTAGTTTGAAGTCAACAGAGGCAGAGTTGCTATCTGCCTTGAGCAAAAGCACCCCCTGATCGATTGAAAAGTGCCATGTTAGTGGGGAGAGTTCACGTTGTCGGTAGCCACGCCACTGTAACATGCATTTCAGAGTCATTTGTGGGCCAGCAGGAAAATTGCGCCCTCTCTTGGTCTTGCTCAGGACGGATACAATAAGCATAACCATTGCCTACATGCTCATGACCTCAGCAGGAAATGAATTACTCGGTAAGAAGTGATGACCGGACTCCCCAATTTCCACGAAGTTTTCCAAAATCAACTCTTTTATGTTCCACCCCTGACCACACCCCCATAAGTAACTCCCCATATCCATACCTGGTACTCCTTGTGTCTGTCGGGAACCAGCGGCGAGTTGTACCAGACGAGCACTTGGAGACACGCAGGCACGCCGCCTGCTGGACCGAGCAGCGACATCTTCAAGACTGCCCGGTGCCAGACTCGGGACCTAGCCAGCAACAGCCAGGCTTGGAACCTGCTGACGGGGTCAGTCACCACGTGCCGAGTCAGACAGTTGCTGAGATTCTTGATGTGAAGGACTAGCAGCCTGGTCGGTAAATCTACGTGGGCAAAATAACGGGCATTCCCATTGTGCATTTTGACGAAAAAATTAAAGTACCCTGAATGATTATCGCTCCAGCTCACCAGACCCACAAGCAAGCCACTCGATCAGCAACCGGTACTTAGACGTGTCTCCATAAAGATTTTTGATTACGAAAACACTGCCAGCCATGTGCTGCACGCTTCTCTAGCAAAGGTTTTTTTAGAAGAACAAGAAAGCATACAGCCTGGTAATGAAATAGCACTGGGGGTCATTCTACAAATTTGGGGTCCAAGTTTAATCCTGTCCCTGTCACATCTGACATGTGATTTGGTAAGTTTTACACATTCTTATATCAAACGTGATTAATTAATACAAGCTACCTGCCAAAAAGGAATAGTTTAAACTTCATTTCAATCATACTTCCAAGTCAAATTCCAAATATCAGGTGTGACAGAGACACAAAAATGTCACACTTTTGGACCAGGATTTATAAGAATGACCCATAAACTACTTGTGTTGGATATCTGTTCAGTTTTTGAAATGGTCTCGTTATATCAAAGTGTGACAAGTTTTTGAGGTTGACAGGACTTTTCAGTTAAGGGTGTACGCTGTATGTGGGTAACACCGAAGTTCAGAAATTTTCTTGTGAATTTAAATATTTTCTGTGTTTTTCTGAAAAGCAAATCTAGCTCTTCAACTATGACTGAGATCTCCGAAGTTACCCTGTGGGTCTGCTTGCAGCAGGTTGCGCAAGCTGTCTAAGGCTGGCCAGCTGTTACGACAATGAAGGACAGGTGGTATGGTTCCCCGACTCTCCTTCACGCATCTATGGAACAAGTCCATTGTGGTCAGCACAGAGGCGCTCCCCCCTGTGTGGTGTAGCAGCAATTCCATCAGTTTCTCCGCGCCAGTGAGTAAGGATGGATTTTCGGCACACGCCCTCGGCTGCAATGGTAATCGTGGGGGAAAAAATTAAATGTCCAGCCGAAAAAGTCATCTATTGACGAGTCCACACCTGATGATGTGCAAACACACAGCGAACGTGGACGATGTTCTGGTGACTTCTGTCGATGGTGCCACGTGACGTCTCTGCTCCTCTCCACGCTTGAGGAATTCCAGTTGCGTCTGCACGCATGCCGAGGCTAAAACTACTCCCCGGAGGGTGCATTCAAAACCCTGCAGTGTCACTCTGTGACACTGTCCCAGAATTACAAAAATGCGACAAAGTGGTAAGAAATGTGGCAAACATTTGCAAAAATGACCGCAACGGTTCAGCTTTTGTAACGTCCACCTTTGTACTGGACCATGCTTGTGCTGTCCTCTCTCTTTAAAAGGTCATTTTTTGGGGGCCAAATATAATGTGTCTGGGACAATTTCAGTTTGAAATTGATTTGTGTGTACCGTAAGCGTGTAGTTAGAAGCCAATTCACACCTGGGGGAAATAAATCAAATTCTCACATCAATTTGAAATGTGACAGCAAGCACTTGACATGGGATTCACACGAGATGAGGGTATTTCAACTCCTCCACATTTCATTGCCGAGCTTTCCTTTGACCCCAACAGACATCAACCATCAGACATCCTTCCATTTTCACATGTTTTCACACATCTTTGTAGGATGGACCCTTAAGGGGGTGAACATCCTCCCCCTAACAATGTTGGGTTTTCCCACAAACTTGATGTGCTGGAAATTATGAGTGTATCTGTTAAGTTTCAATTCTATCCGACGTGGGGTTTGTTCACTGACCAGAGAATTCAAAAATCAAATAATGTGAGTGGGCAAAAAACCCAAATGTGCTCACCAGGCCTCTGCTGGACATTAAAATCTGGGCTCTGAGCTCCGACGAAGGTAACAGAGGGACCACAGCCTGTATAAGGTGCAGAACCTCGCTCTCCAAAGCAGGAAGGTACCTGGTCCAGAGAGAGACGTAGCCTTCATGGCTCAATTCAAGAGCTGCCAGGGAGCAAAGATAAACCTTGAGCTCAATAGCTGCAAGCGTGAACGGCAAAACCAGCTGTCTGAAGATGACTTAGAAAGACAAAAAATCTCAATCACGTGTTTATTTTCCTGGGATGCACTCAATCAACGAAGGACTTGTTTTTAAATACAATGGCCACTGATTTGCCCGAAGGGCTGGGAAAAATGTGAAACAGTGGTTTTTGATTATCACACCATCGCGTCTACCGAAGAACTCAAGTTAAGAGAAACGTTGAGGATGGTTCAAGAACATTGCATTACAGTTCGACACTCTTCCACCCACAGCGGATGCAGTCGAAAAAATTTCAAAAGGAAATACACAGGTAAAGGCCTCAAACGCTAAACTGTGTTACTGTTGGCATTTTACTCTGGTTATTGTGCACTGAATTAAATTAAACTTTTAGATGTGGTAATGAAACCATCAAAAAAAAGACAATTTTAGCATTTTAATCATTGGAAATTTCACCTTAGCTATTGTTTCTTTTGCCAGCATCAAGAGTGACAGGTCTAATTACCAAAGTGAATTTATCACTTTTGCCATTTCTTGACCAAAGCTCTGTCCTTAATTAATAAACGATAAGTTCTTTTCTGGTTTGGCTTTTTAAATTGTACTCTCCTGTGATTCTGGTAAATAAACAACAACAAGAATAATCATTGGAGAAATTGCAGGGGAGGGTTAGCTGATGGAAGATTCAGCATAATTGGGCACAGGTGTTCAGGCATGCAACTTGGACTTTGACAAAAAACAGGAGGAAATTCCAATATTGGCAAGACTTTGTACAGTGTTTTTTCCATTTTCGCTGGCATGGGTGCGAGGTGAAAAATGAGGAAATCAGCTGATCAGAGGACAAGTTGCATGTCTGAATGTTACTCACAGCACTGGCACGCGTATGCATGCTCCTGAGATTTTGTCACAGCTTCAAGGAATGCCGGGCTCAGGGCTTCCCTCGCACTGTTTCCGTGGCAACTCAGCAGGCACTCAACCAGCGGCGACACATCACAGCTGCCGGTGACCAGCGGGAGGCAGAGCTCGGACAGATCTGTCAGTGCAGTCCCAGAGAGCTGGGTGTAGGGGACCAGGCAACTGTGTGAAAATATAAGCAACAAACTAACTGCTGTGCTGTTTGCAAGTCAAACTCGGGGAAAATACCACACAGAAGAATAAACACTGAAAAAAGTTCGGCCAAATTTACTCCTTAAAATTATCTCAAATCATGAACAAGCTAATGTCACAAGTGACGAGGGGCATTTAACCTCCAAAAAAGGACTCTAGAACAGTGGCAAGACGCTCAGAAGAACTAGAACAACAAACACACGTAATGCAGTTACTTACTTAGTGTACGGATCCCAGCAGGTCGTGGGTACTTTGTTCAAATCTTCGACAATCGATTCTAAAAGCTGACATTATGGGGAAAAGCAGTGAACTAAGAGACATTATAGAGAGAGCTAAGACACATCAATTTTTTTACATACATGTAATTCATTGCATTAAATGAATTTTAAAAAATTATCTACTATTATTGGCAATCGTGAAGCTAGAAACAAGTGATTACTTTGATTTTCTGGAAGTATATTTGTTGGACCTGATGTTATTAAACGTACCCTGTAGTTCACTGTAGAAAGTTACACGGTCAAAATGCAACATACATGTAACAGGTCAGTGACAATAACTCATACCTTGAGAGATGCGGTGTGGTTGAAGCGACTTGTAGAGCAACCAACTGACTCTGCGATGCCGCGACATGGATTTCTCTCCTTATAGTAAGAGACGCTGTGCCTGACTTGAGACTTCGGGCAAGAGAGGCAAAAAGGCCACAAGATTAAACATGGTTGCAAAACAGCTTGCAACTGCAGAGTAATTTTGGACTTTCCTAAAGACATGTTAAGGTAACAATTGTGTTTTTTCAAACAGTGCATATCCAACTGGTCGAATAGAGGGTTTGCAAGGCTGCCATCTTGCAGGCCTGTGCCTTTGTTCTACAGGGAGTGCACAAAGGAGGTTTCCCTGTGGAACAAAAGAACTGCCCTCCAAGATGGCTACCATGCAAAGCCTCTATAGGACCAGCCTTTTTCTATTTTGGCTTCAAAATAAAAATCTGAGACTTTCTTGCATCTTTTAGAGTCTTTAGTGATAAAAAAACAGAACTAATTATTGTTGATTGATTGGCTTAGAAACAAAGGAAAATATTGCACATGTTGTTGCCATGTGAGTGTACTGGCTAGCAGTAATGTGTATTTAATCACTTCCCTATGTGATACAGTGTTGTGAAGTTTCAGAAATGCAACACAGTGAACTTGATTAAGGGTCCACGGTTGGGGATCTGGGTACATTTTGTAATCATCATGTGATGCCGGGGACTAGTCTGACGTGGGCAGGAACAGCATGAAGTACCATAGTTAAGAACTTCCACTATCTGTTTACCTGGGCCCACTTGATAGCCTTCTCTTCCAGCTGCTCGCTTGGTTGACTAACATAGAGAGCTAGCACACACTGCAGTACCAACTGGTAGTCGGCCTCTAATCCCACAAATCAACAGAAAAATGCAACGATAGTAACTATGGGTAATTTTGACAAATGTCACTGTGGGCACAAATGATGAAAAGACATCTTCAATAATGCAGGCCTTCAGTAATATGAAACCAATTCTCTTCCAAATGGAAAGTTATAAGAATGGAATAGTTCTGCAAGTTTTTATTAGAAAAAACAGAAGAAAAATGCAGCAAACATTAAAAAGAAAATGAGTCATGCAATGTTTGTGCTTGGAATGAGTAGCTGTTAAGTTGTTGACATCATGATAATTCCACATTCCAGAAATGAATCTGGCTGCCACACACTCAAACAAGGCTGTTCTCTTTCAGGAAAGTAATGATCATTTGCTTTCTATCAATCGATTCCTTCATCAGAATACGAAAGTTTCCTTTCAGACAGTAAAAGAGCAAACAATAAACAACGTCTCGAGCCAATAGAAATGATGCCTTGCTGGTGTCTTCATGGTGCCTCAGAGGCCGTTTACATTTAATTTAGTTGCAAGGAAAGCACAAAAGGTTTACTCGAGCCTATCCCAGTGATATAAAATTACTGTCCTCTGCGGACGCATTAACGCACGACCTCTATACCAACTAGTTATTACTAACAGAACACTTGTATGCAGAGTTTAGTGCGTACCTTGCATTCTGAGGACCTCAATGCTACACAGACGTCCCAGAAGTCTGCCGACGTTCGGGAGGTTCTGCAGCACGACCGACGGTCGACCCTTCATGCCAGGTAAGAATGCGTAAAACTGTTATTTCTGAAATGGTGTACAGAACGCTACACAAGAAAAGGATTTATGGGATTGGACAGTCACGTCATTTTACTGATCGATCCTGTAGGAGATGCTTCCCCTTCTCAAAACAGTCTTCAAGAGATATGCATCGGAAAACGAGGACAGATGGACGCAAACACAGAATAGCAAAAGGGGTACGAGTACATTGTTACAACCAACTTACCCATTCCACTAGCCGACGGTGAAGTTCTCTCAGGAACACCCTTAGTTGCATAATATCGTCGTCATTGGGATGTCTGTTCCTACCCTTGTCAGAAGTCTGCCACTTTGTAACTCTCTCCTCCCACTGCTTGACCATCCGTTGATCCATATGCATCGAGCTCGTCTCCAACGAAGCAGCAAGCCTATAACCTACAGCTGCTAAGATGACAATATTGGAAAAGTTGATAAGAACTTAAGCTCAGAATTGAGCCTGTTTTGGTCCGTCTGTGTATCAGGCCCCAAATCTTCAGTGTCTATGTGACAGAGGGGATAACGTCTATGGGCGTGACAGGGGAGGGGGGGTCCGTACCCAGCTGGGTGTTCCCTCCCCTTTATTTTTAAATGTGCACAATAGTCACAATCTAGGCCTACACCATGCTCATATTATTGTTGGCAAACCTCTCTGCTGAAGGTCAAATTCATTTCAATACCGGTATTATAGGCCTTACCACGTTCCTACAGATTTACATCAAGCATAGACCTGGAGGAAAAACAGGTCTTTAGCTAGGCTAAGTTTAGTACTATGTACATGTACATTGAACTTTGTAAAACCAACTAGCCTGTACATGATGTATACCTTTCTATCCTGTCTCAACTCAACATGGATATGCATGACATGTCATGTATATGCATGTGGCTCGCAGAAGCAAGCGCCCTCTAGAGTTTACATAACAACCGTACATGTACATGAACAGTACAGGCGCCGCGCCCACGGTCAGACAGTACGATCGATGTACAGGTCGTCCATCCAATTGCAAAGCAATTAAAGAGGCGAGCTCCTATTTCGAGCCTTGCTAGCTGGCGCCGGCCTTGTCACAGTTAAATTACCATTATTTAATACTTACGCGTTACGTTCAGCTGCAGTGCCGATGCTGTGCACGGAATTTGCGTAAAGGTATGGTGAGTTTTCATATGTTATTAATATTATACATACAATAGGGTACGTCTCCCCCTGGGCCGGCTATATATCACTGGTTGTTAACTCTGATGTTCCTGGACGACAGTTTAGGGCCGGGGGATCGATTGTGTGTACGGGCCGGGTGTGGGAGGCCGAGGAGTGAAGGTTGCCGTGTCATGGGGTGGGGAGATGTTACGGTGTGCATATTGTTTTTTGGCTGCCTTGGCCTTGTCAGTGTCATCACGGTTGTGGCTGTGGGGAATGTTGTGTCTTCAGCTGCAGAGCACAGTGCGGATATTCAAGTGTTCTTTCATAATTGTCGAGTAGGCATGGGTCTACGTCTACAATTGAAATCCAATCGTGTATCGATAAATACAATAATTCCCGAGCCTAGGCTAGTATAGAGAAATGTTACATAAGCCTACTGGCACTACTCCACCACAGCGGTTTATAGGGGATCCACAAGTTACAACTGCAGAGTTTACACTAACAGTGTATGGAGAATCGTGAACATTTTCTGATTATTTCCTAACAAACTTGGAAATTCTTCTCCGTCCCAGGTTGTATAATTGTCACTTTTGGAATGACTGACCTTTCATGAGATGGTATACCATAAAAAAAGTGCAGACAAAATGCAAGATTCATTCCTTCCCAAGAAGTGAAGAGGTGACCATTAAGTTAGTTCCCTCTTGACATGCTGATCTTGCTAGGCCTACTTGTTTTTGTTCTGTTAGTTGACCTAGTCACCCATCAAATTACCAATATCTCTTCCAAAATGACCCTGTACCCCTTTGTCATTGGATTGCTCATCAGACCTCAAGGTGATCTTCCATAATGGAGATAACTTTCCAAAACTTTGTAACCAAACTAGTAAGATTTAGACTAGCATGTCGGGAAATCACGCAACCGTACATAAAATTGGTTACCTGTTCCTGCAAAGACTTGGTATCGAGGTATCCTTAAAATCAAAGAAAGCAAATAATCAATCCTAACTAATTGATAACAATAAACTTGTCATACAGTAGTTTTTCCCCCATGGAATTCAGATTAAAGCACTGTTTTTCATGTGATAGAGATTTCTTGTGTGGAGGGGACATATGGTACATGTATTAAACTGTGCACTCCAATAACAGAGGTTGGTGCCAACCTGTGTGGCTTTCCAACCCTTAACTTTGTATAGAAAGTCTTCAAAACACTGCACCGTCAACTCGCAATGCCCAAGATTTAATAATTAATTTAAGTAACTAGTGTTTTGTAAGGGTATCCGTAGTTAATTCTGAAGTTTTCATTTCCAACCAATTCTTATTTGCGCGGACCCGTTGCCAAAGGGGGCCCGGCCCACCTGTCAGGAAGCTGGCCCCCGATCCGTAAAAAAGTTTTTTTCAACTCCCCTTTTCCCCCCAGAACGAAGGAGCCTCCCCCAAGGTAGTAAAAAAAATGAAAACCGTAGAATTAACCACAGATGCCCTAACCAAGTTTCAAACAAATAGTTTAGCATTTTAAATAAAGTTGTGTCAATGACTGTAAAAATCTAGAAAAAATTCCTGTAATATTGATTGAATGAGTAACTCAAATGTTTGCTTTAAAGAGCTGTGTATACACAGAAATGCGGAAGTGTGGGCAAATTGTCAGACCCACCTACTGGCATTGGGCGTGCAGTCATCAGATGGCACAGAAATACATACATAAAGTGTTTCCACATTTAAACAGATGCTCCAATCAAATGAGATTACCAGAGAAATCTTTCAAGGGCATTTTTAATTAGCAGGTCGATCTGTAAGTGAGCCTAAATAAACTCAAGTATAAATATATAACAAGATAAGCACTTAAGCAGTTTTTTCTTTCGTTTTCAGCGTGATGTATTTTTATTACCTGGCGAGTGTAAAAATCAGTGGTGGAACCGTAATCAGGTTAAATTTTTGCAGGTACCGGACCGGTACACATGAAGCTTCTGACCATGGACACATGTTAACTTTTTGCAGGTATGCCTGTCAACTGGAAACAGGTTTTTTTTTGCAGGTACTGTGTTCATGTACATGTACGATTGGATTGTCCATAAAATGCATATTTTCTTATTTGTCAAGTGATCGATGCTTTGCATCAATGTCAAAAAGGTTTATTCAAGTGTGCTCTCCGTGGCAGTGAATTTTGGCCTCAAGATGTCGTACCAGCTCTGGGCCACATTGTGCGCTGTGCCCGTCGTCAGCATTCTGCTCTGGATCCGGGTTAAGGGCTTGGAGTACACCATCATCCACCAGCGATGGATCTTCGTCTGTCTGTTTCTTCTCCCGCTGTCCTTGGTCTACGACGTGTTCAGCTTTGTGCGGAACTGGATCGTGTTCCAGATGAACACGGCACCACAGAAGCATGATGAACGTGTGAGAGATATACAGAGACAGGTGAGACACACTTATCCTTTCTCCAAAGAACTGCCAGTATGGGGTTCATCATGCACTCTGCATTCTCAAAGAGAGTGGTGGGCGTGACAAAGGCCCCACTTCTAGGGTAGCATCTCCTTGGAGCAGTGGCGTAGCTAGGTTTTTACTAGTGGGGGGGCACAAGGGGGCACCAGCATCTTATGGGGGGCACCAGCTTTCAGCGGTGTGGTTTTTGGGGGCAAGTTTTCATTGGCCTTGTTCAATATCCATTCATCCGTTCTTTTGGTTGGGGGAACGTGCCCCCCCAGACGCCCCATTGCTGCGCCACTACCTTGGATTAGGTCTGGCAGTGTCCTCAGGTTTCACAATCATTTTTGTTTTTCCAGTCTTTAAATTAGTCCAATTCTGTAATTCAAAGGTACGAGAGTGGAAGGCTGATGGGGAAAAGCGTCCCATGTGCACAGCACGACCTGGATACCAAACGGTCAGCCTACGGATCGGAAAATACAAGAAAACCCATCATAAAATCAATATCAATCTTGGTAAGCTAGTGAGAGTAGGGGAAATAACGGTTGGTTTCCTCCCTTTCCCAGG